TCTCTCTTTCATTCTCTTTCCCTTGGCATGTCTTTTTCTTGAGGTCTCTTATTCTCTCGGCATGTCTCTTTCCTGACATCCGTTTCTCTCGGCATGCCTTTTCCTTACAATCTCTTTCTCTTGAAGTCTTGGCATCTTTTTCTTGACGTCTCTCTTTCATTCTCTTTCCCTTGGCATGTCTTTTTCTTGAGGTCTCTTTTTCTCTCGGCATGTCTCTATCCTGACATCCATTTCTCTCGGCATGCCTTTTCCTTAAAATCTCTTTCTCTTGAAGTCTTGGCATCTTTTTCTTGAGGTCTCTTATTCTCTCGGCATGTCTCTTTCATGACATCCGTTTCTCTCGGCATGCCTTTTCCTTGAAATCTCTTTCTCTTGAAGTCTTGGCATCTTTTTCTTGACGTCTCTCTTTCATTCTCTTTCCCTTGGCATGTCTTTTTCTTGAGGTCTGCGAAAGTGCACTGGCAGCGTTCTGATCTTTTCCAACCGTTCGCAAAAGAAGTAAACAAGCACATGTGAAACAAACTGCATCTTGTCTTTCATCGTCTTCATGTCTTTCAATGCCTTCATGGCTTTCATTGCCTTCATGGCTTTCATCTGCTGGTGTCTCTGTGCTTTGCCTGTTGAACTATGACTGTGCAAACTGTTTCAAGCGGCCCGGAGAAACTGTTGGCCTAGCACCACCTGCGACCTCTGCTCTCGAGCCGGCTGCGATGATTGCACCAACCTGGATCAATTGCTAGATCAAGGGGAGTTCTCACACTCCCTGTTTTTCTTTTGGTGCAGCATCGGACTCATCTTCGCTCATATCTTTAACTTCAGCCGCTGAAAGCTTCTTACGTTCTTTTCGCAGTTGGTCACGTAGTGAACGATCTTCCCTCTTAGCCTTTGCTCTAGCCTGTCTGGCCTCTCTTTGCTTTTCTTTCAACTGCTTGTTCTGTTCACTTTGCTGCAAGGTCAACAAACCTGTGCGTAAAAACTCACGCAACGTCTCTTTTTCCGCATTGTGTTTTGTCAGCACCTTTGCTATATTTTGCAGTCCATCTATCCATCTCACCTGTGCTCCAGGTCTGCGGACTGTTTCTCTCAACAAGGCTCCTTCTATCGCCATCCTTTTGTCTGAAGAACAACTTGTGGCATCTCTTTGCAGGTAATCAAAAACTGATCTTGCATCTGTCACGTAAACCCGGGATCTGCGCTCTATGATCTCGGTCCAGTTCTTCAAGTCTACGTGCCCCGTGAGTGCTTCTTCAAGTAAAACTATAATCCAGTCTCCAGCCTCCACTGCCTCCGCCAGATGACTAGCCTCTGCGGCTAGTGTGGAGCGGCATACCCGCTTGGTCTGGCTTGAATGGAAAGCCAGAATGTTGCATCGGACCTCCTCACCTTCAAGGATCTTGGGATTTGCCAGTAAAATGAAGTGCCCACCAACGCTGCGATAGCGCATGGCCTCATTTCTTTCCGGCGTGCCGTTGGCATGGCCGCTGTCGGCCAAATGAACCACTATACTCCATTCCGAACATCAACATCTGACCAGAAACGCATCTTGAAATCTGCTCCTCGCTTGGCTTGCCCTACAAATTGACGCAACTTCAGAAGGTCAGCTACGCATGCATCTGCTTTGCACCTCTGTATGACACCGTTCTCATATGCTAGATCGCACCTCAATTGGCGCGTAATCCAACCCAGTTCGCCAGCAACACTGTTCATCTGCTCCTTTTCCGCCTCGGTGAGATCTGCTTCGAGCTGCTGCTTCCTCTCGTGGCTTACCTTCACGGTCTTCATAGACAAAGCATAGTTCTTCATCATCACATCTATGTGTCCTTTGTCTGACTGTTTGATCTCTCTGCCGCGGAAAATGAAATCTCTGAAATGGTTTGTGGCGAACTCCAAGGCTTGTGAGGACCTTTGGAAGGCCTGATCCAAAACTGACTCATGTAGACCACCCTCAATGTCATCCACGTGCGTGACGAGGATACCCACAAGACGACCCTTGGATCTCAAATAAAATAGGGCTGGTTCCAGCTTGCTTTCTCGCCACCCGTCTGCCTCAAGGTGTTCTTTGAGTGCCAGCCAGAATAGGCGGGCAGCTTCTGCAAACCCGTATATGGCTTTGCGGGCCTTCAAAAGCTGGCCTGGAATGATGCCAGGTAGACCTCCACGAGGGGGATCCAAATATATCTCCCTCTCCACCGTCTTTCCAGAAAAATAGGCATTCTTGATGTCCTTGGCAATAAGGATGAACTGATAAAAAGCGCAAATGCTGAGACACACGCTCTCTGCCACAGCGCTTGCCGTGGGTGCGTCTCGGCGATACTGGCCGAGTGCTTTGTCTTTAAAGCCTTGCACTACCAGCCTGGATTTTGCCAGGAAATCTTTGCCTATCAAACCATCGTTCTTATTCGTCCTCACCCATCTTGTTGGGACGATGAGGTCTGCCTTGTTCCTTCTGATATCTCTGCTCTCCTCAAGGCCTAAAACTTCGACTGCCTCCTTTGACAGCCATGCTTTCCACTCTTTAGCATCTGCTCCATCCTCTGCTGTAAACTTTTGTTGCAAATCCTTTGGAAGCTCTGACAACTTTATCTCCTTTCTGCCTTTCTTCTTGGCGCCACTTTCTGGTTGTTGACCTTGTGCTGCTAGAGCCTCGTAGCGGTCCTGAAAATCGTTCCGCTGGACTCCAAAAAGAAACTGCTCAAGGGATACGCCACTAGACATGTAACTCTCGGAGTGTTCCATGTAGTAAGCCATTGCTTGATCTTTGAGGAAATGTTTGACCTCGCTCGCCAAACATGCAAAAGAAATGCCCTCAAACGCTGGCTCATCCCTTGTCCACATTGACCCTGAAAAACGTTCTGGACCATCCACCCTGAGTCGCTTGGCTTCTCTCTCAACTGCCTCCTCATCATGGCCTTCTGCCAGGGGGCTGAGTGCCCGGCCTGGAGTTGATTGGTGATAGTCATGGATGTCAGGATCAAACTCCTTGCCATCATCAGGAATGGGGATATCTTCTGGTTTCTCATGCCTAGCTGCTTTGGCCAATCTTTCCGCTTCCATCTTTGCAAGCTCTTCTTTTCTCTTCTTTCGCTCCGCGCTCCTCTTTTCGCTGCTCTGCTCTCATGTTGAAGAACTCTGAACTGCGCACTGCACGAAGTGCGGCTCTATCTGATGCTGGATCATTGGAAGGTCTTGAGGATGCCTCGCTCTCAAGCGGCGGCTCTTGTATTTCATCTAAAGGAATCTCAGGAACATCTCTGGCTACTTCTTGCACCGCTTCGGGTCCCTGCTCTCCTCTTCTGCATCCTCAAGCGTCTCCTCATGCTGTGGTGGAACTGGAGCTTTCCGAAGATCTATGTAACCAGTGCCGCCGGCTGAGGGAGTTGTGTCGAGGAGATCTATCTCTTTGGCGGTGACCGTCCAGTCTTCAACTTCGTGATTCGTGGTCATAGGCTCTGGATAAATGTTCAGGACTGACGGCCAAGATGATCCCTCGGTGAGATATCCACACAGTGGATTGACCCTCTTTGCCGATGACCCTTGCGATACCTCGCCAGCAGTTAGGCAAAGGCTGCTTTTCGGATGCATCGTAGTAGAAAACGTACATCCCTGGATGAAATGGCCCTCTGCTGGGCCACACCTTTCGAAGCTCTGCCCTTCTCAAAGACTCAACTCTTTGCAGCTGTTGCAAATGCCTCACGTGCTGCTGTACGCAGCTGTGCCTTTCTGAAAAACTTGGTGGTACAGTATAGGAGTGGCTGCTAGTGCTTGAGCCCCGATACGTACAACCTCTCTGTCATCGGCAAGGCTGGCAGGCAGCCTGATGTCACGGCCAATGACCCATTGTGAAGGACTAAAACCTCCTTTTCTGCTCATAGAGTTCTTCGCCTGTGTCACTGCTGACGTGGCTGTCAGGACGTCATCTCGTCCTGCAATCTGCTGTGGCCACGCCATCCTTTTAAATGTCTCCTTCCACATTCCTCCATGTCCCTCAATTTGACCAACTTGCCAAGGTGATGCCTTTGCTGCTGTCTCAAAAATGCATCCGTGGTCTGAAAGTTCTGCTGCTAGACTTGCTAAAAAAGGCTTTGCTCTATCTGTGATAAGCCCTCGCTCTGGAAAAGCTGCCCATGATGTCCAACCTTGGTTGAAAGCCTCAACGACCTGGCGACCTGTCGGGTTTCCATGACAGTCTAGAAGGATGCAAACCTGAAACTGTGTGCCCTGGCAAAGTATGTTGAGCCATGTCCATGTTTGGCCTACACTGTCTCGCTCCTGCATCACATCAACTCCTATCTGCACATTGAACTCATCTGTCATGGGGAGTTTGCTAGGTCTAGGCTCTCGTGGGTTCTGCATTCTGGGGCAATCTGCGCCGCATCTAAAAAGACGCACTGCTCGAAGTGCTGATTCGCTGGCTCTGGAAATGCGCATTGCCCTCAACATCGCTGCTGTGGATGCATGTCCCAAATTGGTATGCACCCGCTTCACTGCTAGCTTGAGCTCTCGAGGGAGAGCTTGCCACTTTCTCTCTCGCTCCTCCTCTGCTCGCTGCCATCTCTCGTCTTCATTCTCTATAGCTCTATCCTTACCTAGAAACTTCCCAAAAAGCACGATGTACATGACTCGGTCTTTGGCAATCAACGGCCGGATCTGGGCCGATGGAGACAACTGTGGCTACTGCTCCCAGTCAGTGCTGAGAATGCCGCCTTTGAGTATCAAAAAGCTTTTCCGCAGAGGTACTTTAAGGGGACCAAGAAAAGGTTGTGGCTTCCGAAAACGCCTCGCTGAAGCGGATGCCCAGATCATTTGAACATCAGCCTGTGCGCTCTCTGCTGCTTGCCACTGCTTGAACAACTGTGACTCTTCACTCAACCTATATCATTCTTCTCCGGCCTCCTCTCTGACAAACTCCATAGTTGCTTGCAAACGTTGCTTGACTTCCTCATCTTCGACTTTCTGCCAAAAACCCTTCTGCAACTGCCTTGTCCTCTCTCTGCGTCTTTTCAAAACTCTACCATCCTCTGCTTTCTCTCCTCGCTCTTTCCTTTTGCTTTCTCTTGCAGCGGCTTCAACCTCTGAAAGCAGCTTGAACCGAGTTTCACCGGTCCATTCTGAGCCGGTGATCTCTTCTCCTCTGTTTGTCCAGTCATCCTCATGTCGCTGGACTGTCCCATCAACTCCGTGGATGGTGGAAAACGCTCCGTGGAAATCCTACAAAAATCTACCGGCAGTGTCTCATCTGTTGCAAGTGGGATAAAAAGCTGAACCCTGGGCACTATGTGAACTCGGATCAACTGATCCTCCTCGACTTTCCAAAAGTCTGCTTTCATCTCATCAACCTCCCCTTTGTCTCGAGCTATTGATGGAGATGGGACGATGGAACTTTGGGCATCGTCGTCTGAAAAAGGCATGATTTCGGTCTCCTGATCGCTGTCTAAATTTTCTGCTGCAAAAGCCCTATCACAAAAATTGGACATGTGGGCCACATAGTCAGAGATCATGGAGTCTAAGATGCCGCGGCAGATGGCCCGGCACAGAGCAGGCGGGTAAGCTGCTGCCTGCTTTGACCTTTGCCCAAAGGAGTTGCTACCTAGAACTGGCTGATGGGTTCCCCAAAGACACTGGCATCTTCGGCAGATCTTGTTGAGCACATGCTGGTTGTTGCTGAGCCAACCTGTTGGCTTCTTCACTGACTTCCCAGAAACAGGGTCTTTCTTCCCAAACGCGCATTGATCTCCTATTGCATATTTGGCATCAGCCTCCTCTATCAAAGCTGCTAGAATGCCTTCGAACAACCAAGCTAAGGACCCGGCAGGGTTTTCTATCAAGTAGTTGCGGTTGTGGCTGTGCTGGTACTTGGCAATCTTCTTGATCAGCTTTAATGTCTTTCTTCCAAAAACCTGTCTCAATTGCTGCCAATCCACTTCTGGGTTCATGTTGGTTAGCAACGACCAAATTTTGCAGTCAAAAGCTATGACGACCAGGTAAGGCTGCTGCTGCGTCAGCACACTCCAGAGGATAGCTTCACCTGCTTGGCTCAAAAGGTCGTAGCCATCCAAAATGTCCATGGGCTGGGAATTTGTCCAGCCAAATTCACTAGCTGCAATGCGCGTGACCAAGAAGCGGCCTGCAAGGGTTCAAAAACGACTGTTTGCGTGAAGTTTCTGGTAGCCAACTGTTCAGCCATGGTGTATTCACGCTTCAAAGCTGCCCACAACCTGCGATCCTGCACTCGCAGGTGCTTTGCTGTCTTTGCTAGCTCCTTCAGCCTTCGCTCTGAAAACTGAAAAACTTTATCGCTCCTTCTCACTCCTCTTGTGCTCCCTGGCGCACATCGTCTCTTCCCATGACCAGCATACTCTGGGCATGGAATCTCAGGGACACCCTCAAGCAAAGAAAAACTGCCTTCCTCAGCCAAATAAACCAACAAGTCCTCCCGTTCTGAACTGCATCTAGGCTCGCCCAGCTCGGAAATTGGGCCTGTGCTGATGCCTGCCGCTTGATCATAGGCAATGTCGATGCCTAGATGGTTGGTGCTGGTGACCAACGGGACTTCAATCTGCAACTGCTTGATTTGCACCTTTCGCTCCTTCATCATCACCACCATGTCTAAAGCTGTCATGGCTGAAATAGAAAGCAGAAGTGGTGCCTTTCCAGACGGTATCTCCGCTGAAAAGACTTCGCCCTTGTACCCCTTGAAGAAAATGGGAATGCGCCAGACTGTGACCTTTTCTCCTGTACTTTGCCCATTAGCAAAGTGAAACATCTTCTTGGAAGCCGTTGGAGAGCATGTCTCGCCGTCTGGTAGACTTTGCTGATATGCCAGACGCCATTCTCTGGAGTGCATGCATGCTGTGCAGGCTGTGTCAATCAGGCACAACCTGGACTCATCCAAGCTCGGCTCCTCCTGTTGTGGGCCAAAATGGCCTTGCTGTTGCTCAGGACGTCTCTTTGAGACGTTGTTGAATTCTTGGTTGGAATGTGATCTCTCATTGGGCTCATGCTCATCTGAATTCTCAGACCTTCCCAAAGGCTCACCATCAAATTCATCCACCGCCATAAACGCTAAACTTTGGGGGTCAGGTGAAACTGGTATCTTGGCTTCCTCACTGCTGCTCTGCCCTGCAGGCTCGAATCTCCTGCAGGCCATCTTGGAAATTCTTGATGCTATGACACATGGGGCGTCCAGCGCACCTGAAGAACAATCCAAAATCCACATCATTCTGGAGAAGCACCATATGGCGTTGGCAATCCACGCAAACAACTTGGGGGCAAACTTGGCCGATCTGGAGTCCTTCTGGGACACTGTAGGGCCGAAAGAAACGGCAATCTTCATTTCCAAGAAGCTGATCTGCGACAATCCTGCCCTTCACCTTGGCACAGCTGGAGCTAGGCACCTCAGAGCTTGCTGACAACGCCTGACAGCATGCCTTTTCCTTGAAATCCCTTTCTCTTGAAGTCTTGGCATCTTTTTCTTGACGTCTCTCTTTCATTCTCTTTCCCTTGGCATGTCTTTTTGTTGAGGTCTCTTATTCTCTCCGCATGTCTCTTTCCTGACATGCATTTCTCTCGGCATGCCTTTTCCTTAAAATCTCTTTCTCTTGAAGTCTTGGCATCTTTTTCTTGACGTCTCTCTTTCATTCTCTTTCCCTTGGCATGTCTTTTTCTTGAGGTTTCTTATTCTCTCGGCATGTCTCTTTCCTGACATCCGTTTCTCTCGGCATGCCTTTTCCTTGAAATCTCTTTCTCTTGAAGTCTTGGCATCTTTTTCTTGACGTCTCTCTTTCCCTTCGCATGAACTTTTCTTAAGGTTTCTTATTCTCTCGGCATGTCTCTTTCCTGACATCCGTTTCTCTCGGCAGGCCTTTTCGTTAAAATCTCTTTCTCTCGAAGTCTTGGCATCTTTTTCTTGACGTCTCTCTTTCCCTTGGCATGTCTTTTTCTTGAGGTCTCTTATTCTCTCCGCATGTCTCTTTCCTGACATCCATTTCTCTCGGCATGCCTTTTCCTTAAAATCTCTTTCTCTTGAAGTCTTGGCATCTTTTTCTTGACGTCTCTCTTTCCCTTCGCATGAACTTTTCTTAAGGTCTCTTTTTTTCTCGGCATGTCTATTTCCTATTCTTTCCTGACATCCGTTTCTCTCGGCATGCATTTTCCTTGAAATCTCTTTCTCTTGAAGTCTTGGCATTTTTTTTCTTGACGTCTCTCTTTCCCTTGGTTGAGGTCTCTTATTCTCTCGGCCTGTCTCTTTCCTGACATCCGTTTCTCTCGGCATGCCTTTTCATTGAAATCTCTCTCTCTCTTGAAGTCCTGGCATCTTTTTCTTGACGTCTCTCTCTCCCTTGGCATGTCTTTTTCTTGAAGTCTTTTTTTCTCTCGGCATGTCTCTTTCCTGACATCCATTTCTCTCGGCATGCCTGTTCCTTGAAATCTCTCTCTCTTGAACTCTTGGCATCTTTTTCTTGACGTCTCTCTTGTCCTTGGCATGTCTTTTTCTTGAGGTCTCTTTTCTCTCGGCATGTCTCTTTCCTGACATCCATTTCTCTCGGCATGCCTTTTCATTGAAATCCCTTTCTCTTGAAATCTTGGCATCTTTTTTATTGACGTCTCTCTTTCATTCTCTTTCCCTTGGCATGTCTTTTTCTTGAGGTCTTTTTTTCTCTCGGCATGTCTCTGTCCTGACATCCGTTTCTCTCGGCATGCCTTTTCCTTGAAATCTCTTTCTCTTGATGTCTGGGCATCTTTTTCTTGACGTCTCTCTTTCCCTTGGCATGTCTTTTTCTTGGAGGTCTCTTTTTCTCTCGGCATGTCTCTTTCCTGACATGCATTTCTCTCGGCATGCCTTTTTCTTGAAAGCTCTTTCTCTTGAAGTCTTGGCATCTTTTTCTTGACGTCTCTCTTTCTCTTGGCATGTCTTTTTCTTGAGGTCTCTTTTTCTCTCGGCGTGTCTCTTTCCTGACATCCGTTTCTCTCCGCATGCCTTTTCCTTGAAATCTCTTTCTCTTGAAGTCTTGGCATCTTTTTCTTGACGTCTCTCTTTCATTCTCTTTCCCTTGGCATGTCTTTTTCTTGAAGTCTCTTATTCTCTCGGCATGTCTCTTTCATGACATCCGTTTCTCTCGGCATGCCTTTTCCTTGAATCTCCTTCTCTTGAAGTCTTGGCATCTTTTTCTTGACGTTCTCTGTCCCTTGGCATGTCTTTTTCTTGAGGTCTCTTTTTCTCTCGGCATGTCTCTTTTCTGACATCCGTTTCTCTCAGCATGCCTTTTCCTTGAAATCCCTTTCTCTTGAAGTCTTGGCATCTTTTTCTTGACGTCTCTCTTTCATTCTCTTTCCTTTGGCATGTCTTTTTCTTGAGGTCTCTTATTCTCTCGGCATGTCTCTTTCCTATTCTTTCCTGACATCCGTTTCTCTCGGCATGCCTTTCCCTTGAAATCTCTTTCTCTTGAAGTCTTGGCATCTTTTTCGTGACGTCTCTCTTTCATTCTCTTTCCCTTGGCATGTCTTTTTCTTGAGGTCTCTTATTCTCTCCTCATGTCTCTTTCCTGACATCCATTTCTCTCGGCATGCCTTTTCCTTAAAATCTCTTTCTCTTGAAGTCTTGGCATCTTTTTCTTGACGTCTCTCTTTCCCTTCGCATGAACTTTTCTTAAGGTTTCTTTTTCTCTCGGCATGTCTATTTCCTATTCTTTCCTGACATCCGTTTCTCTCGGCATGCCTTTCCCTTGAAATCTCTTTCTCTTGAAGTCTTGGCATCTTTTTCTTGACTTCTCTTTTTCCCTTGGCATGTCTTTTTCTTGAGGCCTCTTATTCTCTCGGCATGTCTCTTTCCTGACATCCGTCTCTCTCGGCATGCCTTTTCCTTGAAATCTCTTTCTCTTGAAGTCTTGGCATCTTTTTCTTGACGTCTCTCTTTCATTCTCTTTCCCTTGGCATGTCTTTTTCTTGAGGTCTCTTATTCTCTCGGCATGTCTCTTTCCTGACATGCATTTCTTTTCTCTCGCGCTGCCTTTTCCTCTAAATCTCTTTCTCTTGCAAGTCTTGGCATCTTTTTCTTGACGTGTCTCTTGTCCTTGGCATGTCTTTTTTCTTGCGTTCTTATTCGTCACTCGGGCATTATCTCTTGTCCCTCTTTCCTGAACCCTCCGTTTCTCTCTCGGCATGCCTTTTCCTTAAAATCTCTTTCTCTTGAAGTCTCGGCATCTTTTTCTTGACGTCTCTCTTTTCCCTTGGCATGTCTTTTTCTTGAGGGCTCTTTTTCTCTCGGCATGTCTCTTTCCTGACATCCATTTCTCTCGGCATGCTTTTTCCATGGTATCTCTTTCTCTTGCAATCTTGGCACCTTTTGTATTGCCGTCTCTCTTTCCCTTGGCATGTCTTTTTCTTGAGGTCTCTTATTCTCTCCGCATGTCTCTTTCCTGACATCCATTTCTCTCGGCATGCCTTTTCCTTAAAATCTCTTTCTCTTGAAGTCTTGGCATCTTTTTCTTGACGTCTCTTTTTCCCTTGGCATGTCTTTTTCTTGAGGTCTCTTATTCTCTCGGCATGTCTCTTTCCTGACATCCGTTTCTCTCGGCATGCCTTTTCCTTAAAATCTCTTTCTCTTGAAGTCTTGGCATCTTTTTCTTGACGTCTCTCTTTCCCTTGGCATGTCTTTTTCTTGGAGGTCTCTTTTTCTCTCGGCATGCCTTTTCCTTAAAATCTCTTTCTCTTGAAGTCTTGGCATCTTTTTCTTGACGTCTCTCTTTCATTTTCTTTCCCTTGGCATGTCTTTTTCTTGAGGTCTCTTATTCTCTCGGCATGTCTCTTTCCTGACATCCGTTTCTCTCGGCATGTCTTTTCCTGACAATCTCTTTCTCTTGAAGTCTTGGCATCTTTTTCTTGACGTCTCTCTTTCCCTTGGCATGTCTTTTTCTTGAGGTCTCTTTTTCTCTCGGCATGTCTCTTTCCTGACATCCACTTCTCTCGGCATGCTTTTTCCATGATATCTCTTTCTCTTGAAATCTTGGCACCTTTTTATTGCCGTCTCTCTTTCCCTTGGCATGTCTTTTTCTTGAGGTCTCTTATTCTCTCCGCATGTCTCTTTCCTGACATCCATTTCTCTCGGCATGCCTTTTCCTTAAAATCTCTGTCTCTTGAAGTCTTTGCATCTTTTTCTTGACGTCTCTCTGTCCCTTGGCATGTCTTTTTCTTGAGGTCTCTTATTCTCTCCGCATGCCTCTTTCCTGACATCCATTTCTCTCGGCATGCCTTTTCCTTAAAATCTCTGTCTCTTGAAGTCTTTGCATCTTTTTCTTGACGTCTCTCTTTCATTCTCTTTCCCTTGGCATGTCTTTTTCTTGAGGTCTCTTATTCTCTCGGCATGTCTCTTTCCTATTCTTTCCTGACATCCGTTTCTCTCGGCATGCCTTTTCCTTGAAATCTCTTTCTCTTGAAGTCTTGGCATCTTTTTCTTGACGTCTCTCTTTCATTCTCTTTCCCTTGGCATGTCTTTTTCTTGAGGTCTCTTATTCTCTCGGCATGTCTCTTTCCTATTCTTTCCTGACATCCGTTTCTCTGTGCATGCCTTTCCCTTGAAATCTCTTTCTCTTGAAGTCTTGGTATCTTTTTCTTGACGTCTCTCTTTCATTCTCTTTCCCTTGGCATGTCTTTTTCTTGAGGTCTCTTTTTCTCTCGGCGTGTCTCTTTCCTGATATCTGTTTCTCTCCGCATGCCTTTTCCTTGAAATCTCTTTCTCTTGAAGTCTTGGCATCTTTTTCTTGACATCTCTCTCTCCCTTGGCATGTCTTTATCATGAGGTCTCTTTCACTCTCGGCATGTCTCTTTCCTGACATCCGTTTCTCTCGGCATGCATTTTCCTTAAAATCTCTTTTTCTTGAAGTCTTGGCATCTTTTCTTGATGTCTCTCTTTCCCTTGGCATGTCTTTTTCTTAACGTCTCTTGTTCTCTCGGCATGTCTCTTTCCTGACATCCGTTTCTCTCGGCATGCCTTTTCCTTGAAATCTCTTTCTCTTGAAGTCTCGGCATCTTTTTCTTGACGTCTCTCTTTCCCTTGGCATGAACTTTTCTTAAGGTCTCTTTTTCTCTCGGCATGTCTATTTCCTATTCTTTCCTGACATCCGTTTCTCTCGGCATGCCTTTCCCTTGAAA